CTCTATAACACGCACTGACCACCGGGGACAGACGCTCAATGCAGGAGCTGCCCCCAGCCCGCAGGCCCCAGTCGCCGATGGGTCCTGCTGGCCAACCTCTTGGTCCCTGCCCAGGGCCAGCAGGCCCCCGGGCTGGGACGGGGAACTGGGGGTGGGTTATGGCAGACACAGCCCCTTTCTCAGGGGGGCCAAGGGCCGGCTCCCTCCTTGGGGTCGGCGACCAACCTCTTGGGTCCCTTCCCCTGTCCCTCCCCCCATCCGGCAGGCCCAATCAGCCTGCACCTGCCCATCGTGATGGCGGTTGGCCCCTCCCCCCTGGCCAGCAGGCTCCGATTGCCTGAGCCTGGTGTCTGGCGCCTGTCGGTCAGCTGAGCAGCGCTCCCGATGTGGGAGTGCACTGACCACCAGGGGTCAGCTCCTGCATTGAGCATCTGCTCCCTGGTGGTCAGTGTGCATCATAGGCAGTGCGCACCATAGTCGGTGCACAGGCTTTTATATATATAGATAGTCCCAGATCCATTGTTCTAAGAGTTAACCATTGAATCTGGAGTTGAAAGAGACATAGTCATTATTTTGTGTAATAGTTTTAGAACTATCCTGACACTTTGCAGGAATGTCTTCAGGGTGACATGAGCGGAGTGAGGTAGACTTCAGGCAGAGATGCTTTTCCCTGTATTATAGATTGACATTTCATCTAAGATTTCATTTGAACTTTCAGTCATTGAAAACAAAAGCATTTTAAATTTTTACTCCAGCTTTCTACCATCCAGTGCAGGAATATACTTTACAACATGACTGACAGATAATGACTTCTGAGAATGTGTTCTGATAACAGTTTTCTAAGTTCTGAGCCTTCATGTGTTTTAAAACCTTGGTAAATTCTCTTAGAGAAGCAAACTTTGCTTAGCCTGTCAGAGTTCAAGACAGTTAATTAATATTTATGGAATCATAGAGCTGGAAAGGATCTTAGAAGAGATGCAGAGAAGGGGAAAGACTGCTGATAAGAACTAGTGTAGTGAAATGGTTCAGAACACAGATCCTGAAGCCAAACAGCTCGAATCCCACTCTGTGATCTAGGGCAAGTTCCTTAACCTCTCTGTGCTTCAGTTTTCTTATAAAAAATATGGGATAATAACAATAACTACCTCACAGGGTTATTAGCAGGATCAAAATAATTTTTATAGAAAAGCTCTTAGAACTGTGCCTAGCATGTTGTAAATGCTCCATTTAACTACTATTACTGGTAGTATTATGATCATTATTTATTGAGATCCACTTTTGTATCACCTCATTTAACACTCAAATGAAGAAATGGAGATGCTATAAGATAATTTGCCCAACATCAACACAGCTGACTCTATAAATCATTTCACTCACCTCCCTCCTTTTATAAAGAAGACCAAAACTTGGGTAGGTAAATTAATTTATTAAGGGCCATCCTGCTGGTCAGTGACAATATCTGAATTATAATATCAGTTTCTCAGGCTTGGCCTAGGATTGTTTCTCTTTAGGAGGTTTAATAGAGATCTTGATCTGATGTCTTAATTTTTTAAAAATCTCTGTGGCAAAGGTGATGTCAGCTGTCCAAAACCATTATTTTGGTTGGAAATTGTCAGGCTTTATAGAAGCATATGGGCTAGGGCAGCCGTGGGCAAACTACGGCCCGTGGGCCGGATCTGGCCCGTTTGAAATGAATAAAACTAAAAAAAAGAAAGACCGTACCCTTTTATGTAATGATGTTTACTTTGAATTTATATTAGTTCACACAAACACTCCATCCATGCTTTTGTTCCGGCCCTCCGGTCCAGTTTAAGAACCCATTGTGGCCCTCGAGTCAAAAAGTTTGCCCACCCCTGGGCTAGGGTCTTACTGATCATGGAGAGCAGAAACCTTATAATCCTCATTATAGTCAAATGCCGTATTTTTGAAGATGACAAAGATAAGGTCAAATATTGTGACTTAACTTCTGGTTTCTGTATGCTATGAAAAAAAGTATATGCAGACCAAAGTAATAAGACCGTAAGATGTTATTGATGTTAACATGGTCCATACCTTCATCCTCAGATGTGAAATATGTTCTAAGTCCACCAAGCGTTTCCACCATCCCTTTCTCTGGTAAGAGTGAAATCATCTTCATTTCTCAGTTCAACTTGGCAAGCATGCCTCTGGCTGCATATATTCTATAATGTAATAGAGATTATATATAACTTGCCTGCATTTGTCTTTTGTATATATGATATATTGATACCCCTTAATTACCTTTACACTTGGATTTTTGTATCAACTGAAAAATGAACATTTACAGTGTTTAGTGTCACCAGTTGCCCAATAAAAATTTATTTCTGCAATGATGTCATTTTTGTTTTGTAGGACTTAAGCAATGATTTGTAGGAATTGTTTTGGATTTTTATTTATTTTATGAAGATTGAGTGGAATGGAAAAAAATGAAGCTGGTGATACAAGTGGTGTTAAGAGCTAATATTTACTGTGCACTTTCCACATGTTAAGACACTTCATTAACCCCTGTACTTTCTTTGTTATTTAAATAGGTCTCATAGTCATTATATAGTAGAGTGGCAGAGCTTAAAACCAAAAACCATTCGATTTTTGGTCAGAAGTAGTGAACTTAAGCTGATTAACTATATATCTAATTGTGAAGGAACATATTATATCTAAATATAGCATGTGTTGATTTCTTTTTTTCTCAGGTACAATTAGGAATTAATTTTTCTTACTGTGTACAGCTACTTCCTCCACTCCAACCATATTCCTTCATATGGAGGGATTTTTGCTGTTTCCACTATGCCCACTAAATGCTTACGGGAGAAAGTATAAAATGGGAACTTCTCATCCAGGCTCTAGGGTGGTACCTAGAAGCCAGTCGTTGATACTTGAGATAAAATATAGCTCCCTAAATATTTTAGTTCTCCTTCCTAGGTATGAGCACCCACTAATTGAAATATCTTTTTTTTAGATATTAAACATTATGCCAACAGTTTAGTTCTCTGGAAAACATGGAAACAATTAGTAGAAAATAAGACAAAATGTACTTTCTCTTTAGACCATTGAATGGGGATGGGAGGAGAGGGGACCAAATAGGTGATAAAGAGAGTCTCAATGTTACTGTGAATATTATAATTCCTATAGGAAATTGAGGGTGAAATCTGATGTGCATGTTGGAATTGAAGCAAAGAGAAGTAGAAAACTACAGATCACAAAAATGAAATCTTTTTCAATTATAAAGCAAGAAAAATTGTAGCGTAACTTACCCTGGCCAGGTAGCTTGGCTGATGCACAGTCCCATACACTAAAAGGTTCAATTCCTGGTCAGGGCACATACCTAAGTTTTGGGATCGATTCTCTGGTTGGGGCATGAACAAGAAGCAACCGATCAATGTTTCTCCTCTCCTCTCTCCCCCGCCCCA